CAGGCATGCACCGCCATGCCAGGCAGCAATCATGATTTCTATTCTTATTTTTAATATGCTATTTCTGTTTTTATTCATTTATTTTTGAAAAGCCGCTCTCAACGATTGCTCTCTCTGCAGCTAAAATGCTGTGGGGTGAACAACTACACGGATTTTCTCGGCTCTTCCTTCTCGATAGCGACTGGCTACACCTACCCCAGGGGCTGCTGTAAATCTCTGGGCACTGCGGCCTGTGACGGGCACAATGTATCCTCCAGCGTCATCCACCAGGAGGTAACTGGAGGTTTCACCATGAGTGACCTCAACAGACTCTTTTTTTGTTGTTGTTTTTCTTTTGTCTTTTTGAGACAGGGTCTCGCTATGCAGTTCAGGCTGGCCTTGAGCTCACTTTGTAGCCCAGGCTGGTCTTGACCTTGCAATGATCCTCCTGCCTCAGCCTCCTGAGTGCTAGGATTACAGGAGTGCGCCACCATACCTGGTGCCATGCGTGACCTTGACAGACTCTAAATGTCGGTGATTTTTCTAAAAATTGCTCATTTTGGGGAGCCCAGCAAAGGGGCCTGGGAAAGAGAGAAATCAGCTCTAGTTCAGCTCCTTTACTAATGTATCCTTGAGAGAATGTGAGTCAGCTTTCTGTTACTGTGACAGACGTGTGAGGTCACTCAGTGAAAAAGAGAGAAGGTTTATTTGGGGGTCTCGCTATGCAGTTCAGGCTGGTTTCATTTCAGAGGTTTCAGTCCATAGTTGCTTGGCACACAGGAGGCTGAGGCAGGAGGATTGCTGAGAGTTCGAGGCCAGCCTTGGCTACATAGTGAGATCCTGGCTCCAAACAAACAAAATAATAAAATAAAAAAGCCAAACTGCATTCACATCTGTAATATGGGCCAGCATCTTCTAGGATGATAGGTGTGTTCCACTCGCCAGGCTCAATGGTCCCATTTCTAGCCAGGCCGGCAGAGGTCCAGAGAGATGGGGTGGCTTCTCCAGGGACACACAGGTAGCTTGGACAGGGTGTCTGACTGGGGAACTCAGTGCAGTGGAAGCAGCGGGTGAACCTCGTGCTCTGGCCAGGAGGGTAGGTCCCGGGGGATTCTGGGAGCGTGGCCCCAGGGATGGGAGCAACCAGGGTCTTCAGCCCTGAGCAGCCCCTGCCTGCCTTGCTGTCTGTACCCCCAGGGCTGCTTCCGCAAGCTCCTGAAAATCACCAAGACACAGAGCTACGTCTTGAGCTGGGTCTCCCTGGGAGCGGCGGCGATGCAGGTGAGATACAGCCCCTCAGGGATCCTGGCCGCTGTTTCAAAAGTCTGCGGAGATGGGTGTGGCAGCATATCCCTGTGCTTCCGGCATGAGGGGAGGCTGAGGCAGGACATGCCCAAGCTGAAGCCCAGCCTGGGCAACTGAGTGACTCAGAGAGAGCCTGAACCAAAATAAATAACCCTAGCCCTGAGGAATGGAATGAATTTGTGTGACTATAATAGCACAAGGAGGCTGGAGAGAATGAAGCTATGTGGGAACACAGCGTTTGTATGTGAGTAAAATTAATTTGGAGCTTCCCATGGTGATGCATGCCTGGAATCCCAAACTCTGGAAGGCTGAGGCAAGACGATTGAGCCCAGCCTGGGCTTAGTGATTTACCAAGACTCTGTCTCAAAAACAGAACAAACAACAAGACCAGGATGTCACTCATTGTACAGGTCCCATACCAATTCAAACTTTGTTGCTAGATTTATGATATGAATTGTAATCCCGAAGGCTACCACTGAAAAGAAATTCTTTCTTTTTCATTTATTTTTTTGAGACAAGAACTCACTAGGTAGCCCAGGCTGGCCTTGAACCTGCAGTGATCCTCCTGCCTCCTGCTTCAGCCTCTAGAGTGGTGTAATTACAGGTTTATACCACCATGCCTGGTTAAGTAATTCTTAAAATATGGTAAAATAAGGGAAATAAAATGGCACACAAGAAAATATAAAAGATGTCCATGAGGAAAGGACAGGATCTCAACATAAACACAAACAGAAAAATGGAAGATGCATATCCTACTCCTTCAGCAATTACATTAAATGTGAAGAGAGTAAACACTCTGGTCAAACGACAGAGATCAAAGGATGGATTAAAAAAAAGAACAATATTCAATCTACAAGAAGCACACACTGGATTCAAAGACACAAATACATCGAAATGTAAAAGGATGAGGAAAGATACACCATGTCAACAGTAGTCAACAGAGAGCAGTAGTCCCTAAATTAATAGTAGACCAAAAATTGCAACTAGAGACTAGAAGGATGTTTTATAACAATAAACCCATTAATCCATCAGGAAGTCAAAACAATTACAAATGCATAGTATATACCTATAAATGTAAAAGGTAAACAAGTCTAGTTTGGTGGCATATGCCTGTAATCCCAGCAGTCAGGAGGCTGAGATAGGAGGACTGCATCGAGTTTGAGGCCAGCTTAGGCTACATAGTGAGTTGGAGGACAGCCTGGACTACCTAGACCCTGCCGCGAACAAACAACAACGAAAACACAACACGAAATGTAAAATGTAGAGAAACATAAACGTATGTGTTAAAACAACACACACGTTTCCTCCCAAAACAAGGGAGGAAAAAATACAAAATAAATGAGGAAAAACTAATGGACTTGTAGGGAGGATAGACAATCCAGTGATAATTGTCAGGGAGCTTAATACCTCACTCGCAATAATAGAACAACTAAGTAGATGATCAACAAGAAACTAGAAGCCGGGCCTGGTGGCGTACGCCTGTAATCCCAGCACTTGGGAGGCTGAGGCAGGAGGATCGTTACTAGTTCAAGGCCAGCCTGAGCTATAAAGCGAGTTCAAGATCAGCCTGAATTGCATAAGGAGACCCTGTCTCAAAAAGACAAAAAACAAACAAAACAAACAAAACAAACAAACAAACAAACAAACAAACCAGAAGGTGCCATCTCCCCACAACTGTGAGTACAGAAAGCTCAGGAGGGGCACGGAGAGGAAGTGTGAGGAACCATCCCAACCTCTTTTTTCCATCTGCCCATATCTCCTATTGGTGATTCCTATTGGTCAAATCTTACAGGAAGTCAGAGGGCCTAGGCCTCCTATTGGCCAAATGTAGTAGGAAATGGGCGGGCAGAGAATGCTGGGAAACGTCGTGGGGGCGGGTGCTCCGGCATGTGGTGAAGTTTGATTCCCGTGCTGTGGTCGCGAACAGTGGCTAAGTCTTCTTTCTCCCCCATTTCAGTTGCCAGGTGTTCTCGCCACCTTGCTGCTGTTCGTCAAGCTGGGCTGACTCGCAGGCTTTGGGAGGATGAGCCCTGGAGCCCGCCTGGCTGCTGGAGATGCGTGTTACTTTTCTAAGGTGCTTGCTGCTTCCCGAAGGGGCGTTGGTCATACTGATAATAAATTGAGAGCCCCCTGTCCAGCCGACTCCCGTCTCCTTGGTCTCATCTCCGACACCAGCAGACAGTGGCTGTAGCTCAAACACCTAATGCAATGGTGTTTAACTCCATTTTTTTGTTACTATAATGAAAAGCCTGGGTCTGGATATGTGTGAAGAGAAGATTTATTTAGCTCCGTTTGTGACCATGAAAGTCAAACAGCACAGCTCCTGTTGTGGCGAGGGCTTCTGACCCCTGATGACCAATGGCACCTCTGGGCAGGAACGGAGGGCAGGAGGGACGGAGGGCAGACGCCCTTTAGGGGGCGGGGCCAGCGCCGGTCCCACCCCACTTGGCCCCACCTTTTAAAGGTCCCATGGCCTCTTGAGCACTGCCAGTCTGGCGACTCACCGCCCCAAGCGGAAACCTTTGGATACAAACCACATCCAAACTGTAGCAGATGGCCTGTCCCTCCTCCTCTCACAGCTCTTCTGTTTTGTAATGACTCCGTGAAAAAATCTAGAATGTTCACAGAAGCCAAGAGACTCTATCCAAAGCAAACCCCAAAGACAAATCTCTCAGAAGCAACAACAACATTTTGGCATTACCTTTTTTTTATTTGTTTTTGTTTTGTTTTGTTTTGGCATATCTCTTGTAGTTATCCTGTTTTTCCATCGATAAAATATTTCTTTTACTATTAATATTAATATTATTATTATTGTTATTATTATTTTGTCTTTTTGAGACAGGATCTCACTATGCAGTCCAGGCTGGCCTCAAACTCACAATGATCCTTCTGCCTCAGCCTCCCCAGTGCTGGGATTACAGGCATGTGTCACCACACCTGGCTTTTATTATTATTTTTAATTGACAAATCCTAAGTGTACATATCTATGAGATGATTAAAAATACAGTGGATGGTTAATTTTGTTGTTGTTTGGAGACAGGCTTTTGCTATGTAGTCCAGACTGGCCTAGAACTCACTATGTAACCCAGGCTGGCCCTGAACTCAATGCAATCCTCCTGCCTCATCCTCCTGAGTGCTGGGATTTCCAGAGGACACCACCATGCCCTACATAAAGATTCTTGAAAGCGGAATTCCAGAACTGCTTCAGAAAGCCACAAGCATGACGGGATAAGTGTGTTCATAGCAAAGGGGGGGACTCTGAGGCAGATTAATGACAGTATGTCTTTTAGTGCAATGATTAAAATTTTTAATTTAAATATTCATGGTATGTTGTGATCAAACCCCAAATGAAGTACGCTGTGATGTTCTGATATGTGAAGTGAGGGATGATTAAGTCAAGCTAATTCATGTATCCCCTCTCTTCCAAACTACTTTTTTGTGGTGAGGTATTTGATGTTAAGACAAATCCTGCAAGATGTTGTTTTCCCCTTCATACCACAGTATGCACCTCTAAAAATACATTCGTGTTCACAATCTTAGTGTCACCGTCACACCTATGACAAGCATACCTGATGCTAATTGTTGATTTAATACCTGTACCATTACCAAAGTTTCCTGATTGACTCAAAAAAATTTGTTTTGAGATAAGATCTCCCTATATGCTGCCATTGAACTCACTATGGAGCCCAGGCTGGCCTCAAACTCCTGGCAATCCTCCTGCCTCAGCCTCCTGAGTGCTTTGATGACAGGTGTGCGCCACCATTCCTGGCACTGCCTTTCCCTCTGACTGGGGATGCCTCATCTCAAAGTCCCATCTGTTTCTTACCCTAAAGTATTGTTTGAGTTTAGATCTCAGTGTCCCAAAAGCCTCCTGTATGCAGAAAGTGACTGGATCAAGGGGATCCACACTCACCGGTAGACGCCTGCGGGGATGTGTTCGGGGCTGACTGCGCCTCAGGAGTGAGGCCTGGCTGGACTTGGTCGCTGTGGTGTAGCCTGGAAGGCGCGTTCTTGTCCCCTTCTATCTCTGCTTCCTGGCTGCTGTGGACTGAGCCCCTTGTCTCCCCCAGGCTCCTCTTCCACCCCGTTCCTGCCTTGGAGCCAGCCGACTGTGGCCGGAAACGGTGAGCCAGAATCATCACCTCCTCCTGTCAGTTGCAGCCGTTGGGTGTTCTGTCTCAGGAGGTGGCTAAGACACAGGAGATGGAACCCAGCGGGGCAAGTGCTCTACCCCGGGCGATATACCCGGCCTCCTTCCGCCTGGTTGGGTTGGGCTGTGGCCTGCCAGAGGGTCACCTGGGCCATAAAGGCCTGGCTGAACCTCTTTCTTCATTAAAAATTGTAGAATGAGCTGGGTGTGGTGGCACACACCTGGAATCCCAGCACTTGGGAGGCCGAGGCAGGAGAACGGCCTGATGTTCGAGGCCAGCCTGGGCTACATAGTGTGTTCAAGGCCAGCTTGAACTGCATAGCAAGACTCTATCTCCAAAAAATAAGAAAGAGAAAGAGAGAGAGAAGGAAAGAAAGAAAGAAAGACAGACAGACAGACAGACAGACAGACAGGCTGGGGATATAGCTCAAGGGCACAAGCGCCTGCCTGACAAGCACAAGGTCCTGAGTTCAATTCCCGGTACTAAAAAAAAAAAGAAAGAAAAGAGGGCCCAGCCCTCATGATCTCATCCAATCCTGCTCACTCCCAAAGGCCCCACTTCCAAATACATTATCAAAGGATTGGGGGATTCAGGTCTTGGGGACCCACCCCATCCTGTCACCCACCTCTGTCCGCCCTGGCTGCACAGGGGTCCCTGCAGTCTCCCTCTCTGCACCCGGGTGATGCGCTAGCCTGACTCAGGGCTTCTGCAGTGAGAAAGCGCTTTCCTCACCATGCCTGGCTTGGCATAAAGGACATGACTCAGGGACAGCGAATGGGAGTAGGGGGCCATGGGGCCCATGTCCTTTCCGGGCCACCGTCCTCCCAGCACCTGGGTGAGTTCACTAACCTACAAGCTCTCGAGTCCCATCACTGAGGGGTTTTTGGTTTTCTTTGTTATGTTTTCTTTGGTGGCATTGGAATTCGGACTCACACTGAGTTCCATCCTCAGCCTTTCATTTCTAAACTTATTTTGAGACGAGGTCTGTCTAAATCGCTAAATTGTTCAGGCTGGACTTGAACTTGTGACCCTCCTGCCTCAGCCTCCCAGCATGCTGGGATGACAGGTATGTATGTGCCTCACGCTTGTCGTCACTTAGGGGTTTGTGGAGGTCTTATCACTTGGACACAAGTCACTCACTGGCCACCACTGATCGACTTACCATCCAGTCCCTCTGTCCTCCCAAGAGGTGATGGGGGTGGTGGGGATGGGATTGAAAGCCCCCCCCCATCTTCCTGGCGGCCAGCTCCAGCTGAACCCTCCAAGCCAGTCTGCAGTCCTCTCTGCGACATGCAAAAGACTTCTCGCCTCAGGCTCTAGGGCTTTCAGAGCTGTGTGCCGGGAATCACTGGGACAAAGGCCAAATACTTACTTTTAAATGTTTTTGACTAATAAATAAATGAATAAATAAATATTTTTTGAGACAGGCTCTGGCTATGTATTCCAGGCTGGACAGGAGTAGTTGTTATCAGAGTTCCTCAGGAGGCTGAGGCAGGAGCACTGCAAGTTCAGGGGTAGCCTGGGCAGCTTAGTGAGACCCTGTCCTAAAATAAAAAATGAAAAGGGCTGGACTGTAGCTCAGTGGTAGAGCAGGTGCTTGGCATGCTTAAGGTCCTGGGTTCCACCTTTGGCAGAAAGAAAGAAAGAAGAAAGAAAGAAAGAAAGAAAGAGAGAGAAAGAGAGAGAGAGAGAAGTGAGCAAGCATTATGGTGCGCACACTGGGGAAGCTGAGGCAGGATGATTGCCATGAGTTCAAGGCCAGCCCAGGCTACATAGTGAGTTTAAGGCCAGCCTGGACTGCATAGAGCCCCTGTCTCAAAAAAATCAAACAAAAACAAAGGAAAGAAAACAAAACAAAAGAGACAAAAAAAAAGCAGTACTAAGCACTAGTTCTAAACTAGGGATCAATGAGGTGGGAGCCGGCACAGAGAACATTGGAGGGCAGGGAACAGTGTGAACACCTGGAATAAACTGCCAGGCTGGGAACGGCTGGTGCAAAGGCCCTGCGGCAGAGGCTCTGGCGTTCAAACACCAGGGATCAGGGCAAAGTGGCGGAATTGTGGTGAGACAGGGAGGAAGGGGAGAGCAGGGCGCGGGCCATGAATCAGCTCGAGGGGCGGCCTGGGCCACAGCGAGGATGCGGGTGTTTTCTCCAAGCAGCTGTGGAAGGCTCAGAGCAGGGGAGAGGCGCCCCGTGACTCAGGTTCTTGCTGGCGTCTGCGGCTGCTGTGCAGGACAGACTGACCTTCTCACCAGGATTATTTGGAGATGCCGCCCTCCCTGCCTCCCACAAGGCAGAATTCTTTTCCTTGTGGTGTCTAGGATTAAACCAAAGACTCACACAGGTCAGGCAAATGCTCTGCTACTGAGCTCCATTCCGGCCCTTTGAAGATTATTTTGAGACAGTCTCGCTAGGTTGCCCAGGCGGCCCCAACACTCTCGATCCTCCTGCCTCAGCCTCCTGAGTAGGTGGGACAGGTGTGCAGAGCCAAGGAACAGGTCGGGGCAGCCTCGGGCTTCCCCATGGGCCTTCGATAACCCCTTTCCTGGACGCCGCCTCTGCCTACAGGAAATGAAAGAACAACCGCACTTCGGCATAACTGCTTTATTTTTCCTCATGTGGAGAAAATGCCCATTTTTCCCAGCCGGACATCAAGGAATCGCTTCTGCAGAGAACCTCCCGGAGGATAAAAGGGCGTCGCGTCCCACAGCCGCGGGGAGGGGACGCAAAGCAGCACAATCGTCACTTCCAGACCCAAACTGCATCTTATCCTTTACTTGCTTTTCCGAGTAGAGGAAGAAATGGTCCCGGGAGAAGACAGAGAGACAGGCGGGGGCGGGGAGGAGAGCAGGGAAGGAGGAAGGAAAAAAGCAAAGAGAAGGAGCGCCACTCCTCCGGCCACCGTGGCGGGCTTTCCCACGGCACTGCGCACGCGCGGGCTGCCGCTGGGAGCGCCGCCAGGGCGCAGGCGCGGGGAGCGCCGCGGGCTCCCCGGCCCAGCCGCAGCCCCCAAGGGCTTCTTCCCGCCGCCTGCTAATTTGGCTCTAACTCCGCAGGGGCCCTTCCCGCCCCGCGATCTCCGAGGACACCCATTCGTTTCCCACTGACGGTCATGAGCGAAACCTCTCTCCCCGTCTAATCTCACCATGGAAAACCTGCTTTATTTTTAGAAGAAACACACACAACGTATTTTTCTCACATTACTTCCAGTGTTGAGGGCCCCCGAACAGATCTCGAAGACTTTTTTTGGTGTTTGAGACTGGGTCTCGCGGTGTAGCCCAGGCGGGCCTCGAACTCACAGTGACCCTCCTGTCTTAAGTTTCCCCCGTGCTGGGGTGACAGGCGTGCGCCACCACACCCGGCGGTCATTCAGTTTCTTGGTGTGCAGAGATGTCCCCGCTGTGAAGTTCTACGGGCAGTCCCTGGTGTGGGGTACACGGAGTGGCCTTGAAATACACGCGATCTTAAATGAGGCCTTACTTCTCCGACACGCCCCGGGGTAGGGGCGGTCATGAAGGCTGCAGGAAGTCGCTTTGGCTACAAGAGCCGGGGGAGCTGATGACGGCCCTGACACGGAACGGGAAGCCGAGGACACAAGCTGTCTCCTCAGCCATCCGCACAGTGCCGGTCCCGTTCCGGGGTTCCAGTTGGTGTCGAGGGGCAGAGGTCCACCGGAATGGATCAGGGTCCCCAGCAGCTAGGGCTCTAGCTTCCAGGACTCCTTGACACTGATCACAGCCCATCCCCCATTAGCACGAGGCCCCGCCACTCCGTGGCTGCGTCCACCAAGTGCAAGCGACAGAAGTAAGCAGCGCAAGCCCTCCTTGTGCTTCCTCCCGACCCCTGCAGAACCCCTCAGAAGGGACCTCCCCGTGAGCACACAACTCACACCCCTGGGCCCACGGATGCCAGGGCTCTGGAAACGGGTAGTGGGGCTTCACATTGAAGAAGCCGAAGTCCTGACATCAGAAAGTCACAGGCAACCCCGCATGGTGGCGTTGGCCCAGGATCCCAGCTAGTTGGGAGGCTAAGGCAGGACAATTGCAAGTTTGAGGCCAGCCTAAAAATGTGCCAAGACCTTGTGTCAAAATTAAAAAGGAGCTGGGGGTGGAGCTCAGTGGAAGGACTGGCTTTGCCTGGCAAGGCCCTGGGTTCCATCTCCGGGACCGCACACAGAAGGGAGGAAAGTAAGAAGCAAGCTGTGGGGCAGCTGAGGCTGTGGGAATGTTGCTCAAGTTCCTTCTAGAGCAGGATGTGAGATTTGGAAAGATCTTGCTTAAAATACAATCAGCCAGATGGAGCCCGGGCAGGAGGGTCTGGACTCAGGGCTCGGAGGTTGCCGCCTGGCAGGAGGCTAACACTAAGGTGTGGCTGATTCCAGATTCCAGAATTCAATCCAGGATCAACCTACACAGTGACAGGGTCGTGAGCAATGTGGGTGCCACAGGGAAGCAGGGAAGGCACTTTTGGAGTCTCTGATGCCAGGGGCAGCTGCACTTCCTGTCCCTTCTTTTTGGCCCGGAAGTAGTCCCTGCTAGGTAGTTCAGGCTGGGCTTGAACTCTCAGCAATCCTCCTGCCTCAGCCTCCTGAGTGCTAGAACGACAGGAGTGCACCACCAGCTCCCTATCCCTTCTGTAACAGGAAAATGGGCTTTAGTATTCAATCTGCCAGCCAGAGGAAGGGGTCTGTGGGGCCCCGGATTGTGGTATCATCTTAGAGCTTTGGCAGTTAGGGGGTTCACATGGTAGGCTCAAGGCTAAGGTGGGAGACCTGAGAAAGAGGGGCTGCCTCCACCTCTCCTGGGGGAACCTGCATCATGATACCTTCTCCGGGCTCCTACACACCAGGCAATGCCCAGTGCAGAGTGCCCCCAGAAAGTGGTTCTAATGTAGAAGGGACTATGGAGGCCTCTTCCTCAGGCATGGCGGGACGTGCTGCCAATGGTCACCCTGCTAAAAAGCCCTGGAAAGCAGCAAGCTTGTGCATGACGCCATCCCCAGGCTGCTGCCTGCAATGCTGAGTTGAGCCCTGGGGTTGAGCATGGCGGTGACACCGAGAGGGAGTGAGCCTTGCCAGGGTGGGGGGTAGTAGATAGGAGAGAAGAAGGGGCCCCGAGCTTGGGAGCAGCCCTTGTGGCTCATGCCCGGGTCACAGTCCCTGAGGAGGCAGATGAGGCAGGTGGCGGCGAGGGTCCCCCTAACAGCTACAGCTGCTGGGCTGGGGCGGCGCAGGGTCCCCCAGGGCTGGGCCTTTCCCATTGCTGCCAGGGCTGGAACTGGGTTCCAAGGACTCATTCATCTTCTCGCAGATGATGTCCACCAGGCGTTCAAACACCTGCTTCACGTTGATGTTCTCCTTGGCGCTGGCCTCAAAGAACTCGAATCCTGGAGGGAGACAAGGTAGGGACACCTGTGAGATCCCTGGGCCAGGATCTGGGCTGTGGCAACCCTCACTTTGGGTTCCAAAGCCAGTCTGGCCCTTTATACTGCTGTGCAACCTTGGCTGAGTGTCTTAGCCTCTCTGAACGCCAGTCTGCTCATATGTAAAATGGAAGCAGTGATGCCGCTATGGGTGCTGCTAAGGACCTGCAGTGGCGGCCCTGGTCTGGAGAACCCTAAGAATCTCTGTCACAGGGCTGCAAGTGTCCAGGTAGCAGTCTGTAGCCAGGTGTGGTGGCACCAGCCTATAGTTCCAGCTACCCAGGAGGCTGAAACAGGAG